TGCTATTTTATTCAAATACAGAATGAATTTTAACTACAAATCTTAGCATATGAGACTCCCTGTAGATTAATGGGATTGGAATTGGGAGCTTGAGTGTGAGTCATTCATTAGTGAATAATACTCTATAGCAGGGGTCCTCAAACTCTATAGCAGGGGTCCTCAAACAGGGGGCCAGTTCACTGTCCCTCAGACCGTTGGAGGGCTGGACTATAGTTTAAAAAAAACTATGAATAAATTCCTATGCACACTGCACATATCTTATTTTGAAGTAAAAAAACAAATACAATATTTGTATTTGCATGTGGCCTGCGGGCCGTAGTTTGAGGACCCCTGCTCTATAGCAATAAGAAACACACAAGAGAAGTATTCAAGGATTGACTGGGGTATCTTAGGGGAATCATTCTTTCAGTTTTTCTTGAAGAATAGTGCCCAGTGCAGGAACATATATATCTTCCTGAGCCTCTTCAATTTCCCCTCTCTTGCCTTTCTACTAACCTGTAAGAAAAAATATTGTGAAGGTGCTTGGTGATGTTTCTTAAATCAAATCAGTGTGGCACCTTTTGACTTGCAGGATCCGGAACTTACGTATATTTGTATCCTTGGTCTCTTGTGTAGAGAAAGGAGTCTCTCATGAAAGGTTTGCTTGGTCAGAATTCATATTGGCAGCCCTCTGAGAACATAACATTAAACAGTCTTACTAGTTACTTATTCCCATCTTATTCTTTCTTGGGGCAGCCAGGGACCTGTAGCCAACCTGTCAGAGATAAATCAGATAAACAAAGGTAACACTCGAACCATGAACCAGACATAGCCAGTAACACCAATTTATTAATAATAATAACAGTTTCCCATGGGAGAAAACGGGATGGGTAAGAAATAGATTTAGAAAAACAAAAGCTAAGTGGAAAGTCTGAAACAGTCTCATAACATGTGTTGTCCCAATTCAGTCAGGCAGGATTTGACTATATTTATAACCCAGATTGTGCCTATTTCCATAGGGATTACCCAAAAGCAAAATTCCCAGAGGCAGTAAGTAAAAAATGTCTTCCTCTTTGTCTCTTCAAATATACAAACAACTGTAGTTTTCTTGAAAGAATAATGAGGAAACCTTCACTTTCTTGGAGGAAAAACCATGTATTCTAGGCTGTTGGTTTTCCTCATCCCTCCTTTCCCAGAGCAGCTGCCCCTCAGAGGCCCTGAGCTGACATGAGCCAGGGGCACAGGACGAGCGAGGCACACCATCATTCTGGGTTTCAGCCACTTCCTTTCTGAAAGAACAAATCTTTTCCTTTTCTGGGGTGAAGGAATCGCATCTTTAAAACTAGCTAAATATTGATAGAAACAGAGGTTAACAGATAATATGTAGCTATACATTTCAATAATTATAGCTGCCTTTTATTGAGTATCTACTATGTGTCAAGTATTATATACAAGAAACACTTCTTATTTCATTTGAACATCAGAGTACTCCTCTGGCAAAGGTACTATTTGACCATTTCGCAAAGCTGGGAACTTGTTCAAAGATGTAACGTACCTTGCCCCAAGCCAGACTCTGCAGAGCAAGCGCTTCCATCCAGAAGGGGTTGGGTTCTGGTCCTTCACCTCATCTTATTTGGCAAAACCTGAATAAGTACTGTTGAGTTCTTGGTGACACCCGTAACTCCTGTTTCTTAAAGCTTCATGGTACCTCATTCTTCTGCATTTCAATTTATTCAAATCTTCTCCTTACATCTACCTTGATATGTTGGATATTTGTCTGCTTGCATCAATCATTATGATGATAAAAACTGAAGACTGTGCCACTGGTTTGGTGGCTCACTGGATAGAGCGTTGGCCTGCGGACTGAAGGGTCCCAGTTTCGATTCCGGTCAAGGGCATGTACCTTGGTTGTGGGCACATCCCCAGTAGGGGGTGTGCAGGAGGCAGCTGATCGATGTTTCTCTCTCATCGATGTTTCTGACTCTCTATCCCTCTCCTTTCCTCTCTGTGAAAAATCAATAAAATATATTTAAAAGAAACAAAAACAAACAAACAAACAAAAACTAAAGACTGATTTGCTTGCTGAGTTTTCTTAGTACCATGATAGGTGTGTTCCAATTCTTAGTCCATAGGTATCATCACCTCCACCTCCCATTACACTGATAAGTTGTGCACAAGTTTGCCAGTTAAGATTTAAACATCTTTAAATTAATTAGGAAGTCAAATTAATTAGGGAGTATTTTCATAAGCTACCGTGGTATCAGCATTGTACCAGTCTAATTTATAGTATCTCAATTAAATAAATTATACTAAAATTATAATTAATTCACACTAATAAAGTGGTAAAGAAATATAGTGGAGTACATGTGAGATGAAATCTGTTGTTATACTTTAAAAAGTTATATTTAAAAGATTTTACCTTCTATTCTTAGTGTAACCACAGGGCTAAGCACTTAGTAGACGCTCAAGTAAGAGTTTAAATGATTGTCTGTAAGAACTTCCAGATTCAGGCATCACTGGTGGTGTGGATGTGGGCATTATTTTAGGAGGAATGTATTTCAAGCAACAATAGTCATGTTTGGAAGAATATCACAGATACCAATTTCCCCTTTTCCTGCTGTCATGGAACATACTTGTTCATAGCTTGGGAGGCTTCTGGGAATGCTTTATCGAGATTGCAGAATCATCTGTTCCATTGCCTTTATCTTTTGTTTGACTTCTTTTCCACTCACCTGACTGAAAATTAAGAGATATTCCTCCACAGTTAACACCAAAGATATTTTAATCACCAACATTCTGACTTTAGATTAGGGCAGTCACTTTAAAAACTGTTTGCTAGTCATGTATAAAGGGCAGCCTGGTCATTGTTCTTAATGCTGTGTTTATGACAAAAGGATGCTGATGAATTAAGAGTGTATTGAAACAGAAACAAAGAATACTTGTATTATTGATTTTCCCTAAAGGGTTAATTTCACAAGAGAGACAAAATACTATAATAGATAAGTGGTAGCACAGCCTTTCTTATAAAAAAGAAATATGTTTCAGATATCAATATTCAGGCTTGGCTTATTGGATAAGTCTTATCTAGGCACATTTCAAAACCTACTGAAAGGGGAATGGTAGCACTGAGAGTTGGGCATGAAGATGAAATGTGCTACAATAGACTCAGTTACTACCATTTATGATTATAGTTTATGTGATGTGGCATCAGTTTAGTAAAAATGTAATGAACTATCAAATCATTTTACACAGGTCATTGAACAGCAGTAAAGTGGTATCAGCTCTGTTCCATTATGATTGCGCTGGATTTGAACCCGTGACTCTCAGGAAAATGGCTATGTTCGATTGTCAGTCTATAAAGATGAATTTACAGAGTAGCAGCTTATCTATTTATAACATTTTGTTTCTTAACTACATTTTTAAAAATTGATACAATCTATAAATTGTCTCTTGAAAAACACAAATTTTAGGTATTGGAAAATGATTGCATTATACATTATATATTTATTATATGTTATATATTTTATTTATATATTCATAATGTTATTAAATCTGACTAAAAGTGGTCACATGTGACATGATATTGAAGGATCTTCGGGCTATTAAAGCATAATTAAAATTAGGTGCAATCAAAATATAGAACACATTTACTACCATTTATATAATTATTTTAAGTCATAAATCTTTATTCCACTCAGCTTTAAATATTCTCAGATCTCATGGATTATATCCACTAAAAGAATATTTTTGATTTCAGAGAGAGGAAGGGAGAGGAAAAGAGGGATAGAAACATCAATGTTGAGAGAGAATCATTGACGAGCTGCCTCCTGCACACGCCCTAATGGGGACTGAGCCCACAACCTGGGGATGTGCCCTGACTAGGAATCCAATCGTGACCTCCTAGTTCATGGCTTGATACTCAACTACTGAGCAACACTGGCCGCAGCTAAAAAATAATATTTACCAAGAGAAATAAGCAGCAATATGTGCTGAAATACACAATTTTATTTAATTAAAACACTAACATGTGTTGAAGTACCCATATACATATTTTAAGTCACTTCTGATAGTTACATTGTGCAAATAGATGCCAAAATAATATTCCAAACATCTTTCACCTGGGGTATTCTAGAGCAGTTGACTGAAATGACTGGTAGAATATCTAGGCCAGTGGGCGATCGTAATTTCATTGCAAAAATGACCTAAAAATAGTTAAGTGAACAAAATTTGTGTTCATTCAAAAGAAATGAAATGCCGCATTATAAGTTTTCACATTCCTCCTTCAAAAATTTTCTATAATTTTGATAACTAGTCTAGATATTCTTTTTTGCCATTCTTGCTACATTTTCAACAGTTTACCATTAGTTTTTGTTCTTAAATTACACAGGATTAAAACTCTTTATCATATTTAAGTTGGACATAACATAATAAATGGCAAATAATAAATGTCTATGCCTAGCTTTATTTACTTATGTAAGTTTACGTTGCTTTTACACTGTATTGTTAACTGAAAGCTGTTTTGATGTGTGTTCCGCGGCGCGTGTCTTATGGGGAGGATGTTAATCGGCGTGTCCTGTGGTCTTCTTTGTAGTCGCAGCGCCGCGTTACCTTTCACCTGCCCGATGGCTCCCAGGAAAGCTGCAGTGACAGTGGTCTAGGAGACCACGAGCCGGTGGGTAGTGGAACCCTGATCTCACACCCTCTTCCTCTGGTTCAGCCACAGGACGAATTCTACGACCAGGCCTCTCCGGACAAGAGGACCGAAGCAGACGGCAACTCTGACCCCAACTCTGGTGAGTCTTTTTCCAGCTTCCGCCGCTTGGCATTGCTCTGATTTCCGACGGTGCGCTTGAGCTTTCAGCAATCATCCTGGGGAGCAAGGAAATGAACATTTGGTTGCTTTTTTTTTCTTTTTTCTTTTTCTGGTTTTGTTGTTGTTGTTGTCTTTCTTGAAGTATATCAAGTGTAATGTGCTTGATATATATTGGTGTTTTGTATTGCTCTTAGCCTATCAATAACCGATGTTGTGGCTGCACCAGCACGATGGTTCTTATTATGATTGCAAGAAGCCCTTCAGCAATAACCATCAGGAAACTTTGAAAAAATACAGGTTTATTACTTATGAGACCAGCACCCCTGGGGCCACACAAGGAGAGGTTGTGGGGAGGAGAGAGTGAGCAGATGGTCCTGGGGCTGTGCTTTTATTGGGGTGGAAGGTGGGGCCCTAGGGGAAGGGTAAACAAGCAAGTAGCCCAACTGGTCAGTGATTGAAATCAACCAGGATCTTGAAAACAAAGAAGCCTAGGTTGTTGTTGGGGGAGAAGGGGAGGAAGGGTTTTGTTTGTTTGTTTGTTTGTTTGTTTGTTTTGTCATGTGGCTGGCAATGTGTTTATTGGAGACAGACATCTTTGAAGTGGGTGCCTCAGCAATCAAATTTTTTGCCATTCTTGCTACATTTTCAACAGTTTACCACTAGTTTTTGTTCTTAAATTACACAGGATTCTTCCTCGTATTTAAGTTGGGCGTTACATAGCAAATGGCAAATAATAAATGTCTGTGCCTAGCTTTATTTACTTATGTAAGTTTACGTTGCTTTTACACTGTATTGTTAACTGAAAGCTGTTTTGATGTGTGTTCCGCGGCGCGTGTCTTATGGGGAGGATGTTAATCGGCGTGTCCTGTGGTCTTCTTTGTAGTCGCAGCGCCGCGTTACCTTTCACCTGCCCGATGGCTCCCAGGAAAGCTGCAGTGACAGTGGTCTAGGAGACCACGAGCCGGTGGGTAGTGGAACCCTGATCTCACACCCTCTTCCTCTGGTTCAGCCACAGGACGAATTCTACGACCAGGCCTCTCCGGACAAGAGGACCGAAGCAGACGGCAACTCTGACCCCAACTCTGGTGAGTCATTTTCCAGCTTCCGCCGCTTGGCATTGCTCTGATTTCCGACGGTGCGCCTGAGCTTTCAACAATCATCCATTAAATCTAAGTGGTTTATTGAATCAAGGAAATGAGCATTTGGTTGCTTTTTTCTTTTTCTTTTTCTTTTTCTGGTTTTGTTGTTGTTGTCTTTCTTGAAGTATATCAAGGGTAATGTGCTTGATATATATTGGTGTTTTGTATTGCTCTTAGCCTATCAATAACCGATGTTGTGGCTGCACCAGCACGATGGTTCTTATTATGATTGCAAGAAGCCCTTCAGCAATAACCATCAGGAAACTTTGAAAAAATACAGGTTTATTACTTATGAGACCAGCACCCCTGGGGCCACACAAGGAGAGGTTGTGGGGAGGAGAGAGTGAGCAGATGGTCCTGGGGCTGTGCTTTTATTGGGGTGGAAGGTGGGGCCCTAGGGGAAGGGTAAACAAGCAAGTAGCCCAACTGGTCAGTGATTGAAATCAACCAGGATCTTGAAAACAAAGAAGCCTAGGTTGTTGTTGGGGGAGAAGGGGAGGAAGGGTTTTGTTTGTTTGTTTGTTTGTTTGTTTGTTTGTTTGTTTTGTCATGTGGCTGGCAATGTGTTTATTGGAGACAGACATCTTTGAAGTGGGTGCCTCAGCAATCAAAGCTTAATTAAGTCGGCACTCTGATAGAAGAAAAAAAAGTCACATTAGGGCTTCCACTACAATTGCCTGTTAAATTGTATGCTTCACTTTTATTTTGTAAACCACTGAAAAAGAAAAAAAAATAAACTATAATTTCAAAAGTCATTGATTGGCAGACATTTTGATGTCAAAAATGTTAAATGCAATGTTTAACATTTTAATGATAAAATACAATTAAGTAGGACCTACTCAATAAAGAATAATAAGAAAAAATTGTCCTGAGGAATCCTGTTTTCCAATAAAGACTTACAAAAAATATATAATAGTGATTTGAAACAAGCATGAAGGGTAGTGATAATGATTTGGGGGGTTTACTTTTTTCTGTTTTAGTTTTGGAGGATTGGCTTTTAACCAGTACAATGAACTAGTGGAATGAATGGACTGTACCTGGCAGAACTTTTATTCACAGGCCCACACCCACCTGTGAGATCATTGCCCATTCAAAGTAAGCCCTGTGAGGGCTCCGCTGTGGCCTTTGCAGGAGATATTGGACAAGTGTTATATAATTTTTAGTCATGTCATTATAAAAAAATCACTGACTTGTTTGCTTTTATTTAAAAATTAAAAGTACAATTTAATAATTATTAATTCTGTGATTGCAGTAGAAATACTGAGAGGAGGTAAAAACCACAAAAGCACTTTCTTAACTAGTCCTGTCACGGTAATCCAGCAATAGTGTACTAGTGTTCTCTGAGTTCTACGATTTTTAAACGGACTGTTTCCAGGATGGTGGTGGAGGACCTTTTGTACATATACCCCTTCCCAAGCTCTGCCCCATCGCTACAAGTTTCTCTAATATAAATGATAAACTTATGAGTTTCTCTTCTCATTGGTGTGTGGAGTTACATGTGCATCTTTTTTTTTTTCTTGAGGTTTCTCTCTGCTCTAGCCAATCTTTTAGGAAGGTTTAAGTAAAGTCCATACCAGCTCTGGTTCTCAGATCCTATGTCGTGGTCTCATAACAAAAACATAAATGCATCTTTTGACTTCACATAACCAGAAATAACAGGCCATACTCAGAGGTAACTTTTGATCACACAGCATTTGACAGAGCTGGCCAACTATTCCCCTTAGATTTCTTGGTTTTGATTAGTCTAAGCACCATTAAATCTAAGTGGTTTATTGAATCAACCTTTTCCGAGCTTGTGTGATGAGGTCAGATTGGTAGGAAAGCTCTTTCTGAACTGATTTTCTAGTCTCCAACTTCTCCCTTCCCAATTTTAAGAAATCTCTCATTGCCGTTAAACTAAGGGTCTCAAAACTGTTTTTTGTCTACCTCTTCTGCATGGGGAGTGGTTGGCTCCTCTTATATTTGGGCATCAGCCAAAACAAAGATAGAAAGACACCATTTTAAACCTAAGTCTGATTAACCTAAACTGCCCTGAGCTAGAATTTTAGCCAATATGTATAGCTACTCACCCAGTGACTTAGACCTGGGCAATAACACTGGGCGAGCTTCCAAATGAGAGAAGATAGAAGAGATTCTAAAGCCAAAAAATTAATTAATTAATTAATTAATTAAAGTCTGCTTCAGGAATCCTCCAGAGTTTTTACCAATCTAGTCACATGGAAAAAGGGACCCAAGGGATGAAACACCCTTGCACACTCCAACATTCATCTCAGCACAGTAGCTTCACCCAGGAGAGTCCTGGTCAATAGAATGTACTGAACCAGAGCAGTGCTCCTTGGTGGAGAAAGAGAAAGGAGGAGCCCTAAGGGCCCCTGGAGACCAACAGATTTTTGACATTTAATGGGACTAACCTCCTTTGTAAATGTCTAGAACACAATTAATTAGAATAGCCTAGATATACTAGTATTAAAAGATTCATAACTAAATGGTAATTCATATTAAGATAGTATTATGATACTAGAGGCCTGGTGCACGGATTCGTGCACCAGTGGGGTCCCTCGGCCTGGCCTGCACCCTCTCGCAATCCAGGACCCCTTGGGGGATGTCAGAGAGCCAGTTTTAGTCTGATCCATGCAGGCCAGGCTGAGGGACCCCACCAGTGCACAAATCCAAGCACCAGGCCTCTAGAATGCATATAAGATCTTTGGTTAATCTC